CCTCCCTTCTGTGCCTTTTTGTTCTTTAAAAGTGCTCAACACATTGGGCACTGCTCTTCCACATTGGGAGGGCAGTCTGTTTAACTTGGTCCATCGGCTCAAATCTTAATCACATCTAGAAATATCCTTACCAATAAATCTGGAAATAACTTTTTTTTGTTGTTGTTGTTGGTCATGGGGCTTGAACTCTGGGCTTGGGTACTCTCTTAGCTCTTCAGCTCAAGGCTAGTGCTCTACCAATTGAGCCACAGCACCATTTCCTGTTTCCTGAGTGGTTTATTGGAGATAAGAGTCTCGAGGACTTTCCTGCTGAGGCTGGCTTTGAACTAGTGATCCTCAGATCTCAGCCTTGCGAGTAGCTAGGATTACAGTTGTGAGCCACCAGTGCCAGCTGGAAATAACTTTTTATCTGGACACCCTGGGGCATAGTCAAATTGACACATGGCTGAGACAAAACACCTGGGCAAAACAACCTAAGAGGGGCCTAACTGGGTCCCCAGGCTTTTAGATGTTGCTACCCACAGTTAATCTTCTCTGGAAAAGCCTCACAGGTGCACCAGAAATGTGCTTTCCTAAGCTCTCAGATGGTTTTTAATACAATCAAGTTGATGATCAAGATGCACCATCACAACATCCTAATTACCATTTTCTTATTTATTGTGCTCAGAACAAGTCGTGGTAGATAAGTAGGTTGACAAAAAAGTGCTTGTAAGGATGTGATTCCAGACGTGTACGCTTTTTGTTTCTGAAGTACTTTCATGTCAGAACCATCAGGTTCTTCTAAAGAAAAGTTATAGGGAAATGTTCATTCTCTCAGTGGTTCTAACCTAAACTAAAAGATTGTGGCTGGCAACAGTGCTACATTATAAATTAATTGAATGTTGGGTGGTAGGGATAGGCCAGTGTTAGAGTACTTTATTAGCTTGTGCAAGGCCCTGGGTTCCATCCCCAGCATTATAAAACTAAATAATACAGCTCTTTCCCCAAATTAAATAAACAATTTTCCCCCCAAATCACCCAGATCCTTTCATTTGTTCATAAGCATACCAAGAAGCTTTCAAGAAGACAGACCTCTGGAAATCAAGAAAGACCAAGGAATAGCAGATCTATCTGTTCTCCTATCTCAGGCTCACTTGCTCTAGGTCTGAGGTTGAATTCAGGGGTATTAAGTGTCCTGCTTGCTTTCACCAAGTGACATAGGGCAAGATTGCTGAATGACTTGAGTGTGTGGAATGGTGAGGAATGGCAGCTCTCCCATTTAGGGACTATGACCCTTGACAAATATTTAAGATTTGGAAATGATAATAGCAACAGCAAAAATAGTTAATATGTAATCTTAATGTACTCTGGCAAGATATACATGTTATAGGTGAATTTCTCTTATTTAATCCTCATAACAACTCTATCAGGTAGGGACTGTTCTAATTGTACAGATGGAGATACTGGAGCTTCTGCTACCCTATAATCATAGTAGTCCCAGGATTTGGACTCAAGCATGAAGCTATGTGGTTGTTATGACATTTAAGTAGTTTCAACTTTTAAAGTTGCAGCCCTGTGCTTATTAGATAGATACTGTTTGATGAGTGTTAGAATTTTCAGTCCTGACAAACTTAATACTTCTAATTACATTTTTAATTTTTCCTTTTATTATAATCTTTAAGTAGTTGTACAAAGGTGTTGCCATTTGACAAAGCAGTTTATGAGTACCATATATTACGCCTTTTAACATTCTCACCTAACCCTCCCCTTCCTTCCCTAACCCATTCCTTCCCTCATTCTTCTTAATTTGTAGGATCCATGTTGAATTCTTGACTGCATTTTTCCCCCTCTTCATTTGTCTCCCCCTACCCCCTACCCCATTCCTTTTGACTGCCTGCTTCCTGTTTCATTTTGCTGAACTTTGATTTTGCCTTTCTAAGGAATTAACTATTTGGGAGATCTCCCCTGAATCTACTGTTAATGCTTCTTTTTTAATGACTAATAATTTACATTCCATTTTTTATTATCCTTAAATGAAATTCATAATGGGACCTAAACATGTAATTAATGATTATAATGCATAATTTTAACATAAAAGAAAAGCATTTCTATTATAAACATTTCAGAATGTCATTGCTTGGCACTAGAAGACAATGCAGTAGTTAGCTACTTGTATCTAGAATGAATGGTTGGATTAAAAAGATAGAAGTATGGGGCTGGGAAGGTGGCTCAGCAGTAGAGTGCTTGCCTCGCATGCATGAGGTCCTGGGTTCAATTCCTCAGCACCACATAACCAGGAGAGGCTGGAAAGGCACTATGGCTCAAGTAGAGCCCTAGTAGAGTGCTAGCCTTGAGCTGAAGAGCTCAGGGACAGTGCCCAGGCCTAGAGTTCAAGCCCCATGACCAGCAAAAACACCCCCCCTCAAAAAAAGATAGATGTACAAGAAAGAACATGAAAAGAATGACCCATAGGTATGGTGGATGTTAGAATGAAAGCTATTTAGGGTAAGGTACATAAGGGATATACTAGTATATGGTCTTGCCATAGTTGCTACACAAATGGCCAGAGAGAAACACAGAAATTACATGGCACTTGTATTTGTCATGTGTACCTGTCCTTTTCCTAAGTTGTATATGAAGTGTCTTGAAACCCATCTAATAAGTGACTAATAGTCCCTCTATCAGACTCAGCTAACAGATAAATTCTGGAGCCTGAAGCTTACTCATCTTGTTCTATACCATTTGAACCATGCCTCCAGCCTGCTTTTGGCTGGTTCATTGGAGTTGGCTAGCTTCAAACTGTGATTCTCCACGTCTCAGCCTCCTGGGTAGTTAGGAATACAGGTGTGAGCCACCATCTCTTAGCTCCAGATATATTCTTAAATGTGTAATTCTGAATCAAAAATGACATTTTAGGACTCTTGAGCTATATTATTAAATAATGTTCTTTAAAAGCTAAACCAACTTTGAGTATCATAACTAGTATATTGAGATGTCTACCTAATTAAAAAAAATACCTTTTTTTCCTGACAGTACTGGGCTTGAATTCAGGACTTTGTGCTCTTGGTTGGCCTTTTTGTTCACAGCTAGCTGTCCACTACTTGAAGTGTGCCTCTGCTGCCAGGCTTTTGCTAGTTAGTTAGAGATGAGTTGTGGATTTGCCTGTCCAGGCTGTCTTTAAACCTTGATCCTCAGATGTCAGCCTCCTCAGAAGCTAGGCATCTAAGATGGCCCTGAACTGAACCCTCCTGTCAGCTCTATAGAGTGGTAAGATTATAGACAGGTACCAACATGCACAGCTCATTTTTTAAAAATTAAAAATAACACCTCATTTTTAGTACGTAACGCTGATAAGCTAATGAAGGTCAATAATTTTTATCTATTAAATTACTGTTTGTAATTTTTCTGTAAATACATTGTTTTTGGTCTTTTTAAAAATTAATTTGTATTTCATTTTTTAAGTAATGATAATATATTGTAGCATATTATAGCATTTCCCAAATTTTAATTTAGTCAGGTATGATACTAATGTAGTAATTTTTCTTCTTTGGTGATACTCTAGGGTTTGATTTTTAGGGGTCACACTTACTAGGCAGGTGCTTTACTGCAGAACCATATCTCCAGTCCTTTTTTTTTTTGCACTATTTGTTTTGAGATAGAGTCTTGCTTTCTGCCTAGGCATATGTTTGGACTCTGCCCCACCTGTTTAGACTTCCAACCATAGCTAGGATGACAGACACTTATTGCCTTGCCCAACTATTGATTAAGCATTCTCACAAACTTTATGTATTTATTTTTTTCAGTTGGTTATGGGGCTTGAACTCTGGGCCTGGGTGCTGTCCCTGCGCTCTTCAGCTCAAGGCGAGTGCTCTACCGCTTGAGCCACAGCGACACTTCTGGTTTTCTAGTGGTATTGGAGATAAGAGTCTCACAGACTTTCCTGCTCGGACTGGCTTTGAACCATGATCCTCAGATCTCAGCCTCCTGAGTAGTTAGGATTACAGGTGTGAGCCACCAGCGTATAGCTCACAAAACTTTTTTTTAAACCTAGGCTGGCCTTGAATAGAAATTCTCTCTGTCTCAGCTTTAAAGTAGCTAGACTTACAGGCATGAGCCACTAGCATTGGACTTGATGTGTAGAAATTTTTAAAGTTTTTTTTTTGTTGTTGTTGTTGTTTTGTCAGTCTTGGGGGTTGAACTCTGGGCCTGGGGGCTGTCTCAGCAATTCAGCTTCGGGCTGGTTGGTGTTCTACCACTTGGACCACAGCACCACTTCCAGGCAGACTTTCCTGCCTGGGCTGGCTTTGAACAGCGATTCTCAGATCTCAGCCTCCCAAGTAGTTAGGATTACAGGTGTGAGCCACTGGCACCTGGCTGGTTTAAAGTTTTTTAAGTACATAGGTCCACTGGCATTTCTCAAACCCGTATCACCTTTTCTCTTTATTTGTCATATTTCACTTCATCCTTCAGGCTCAGTTCCCATTCCACTTTGTCTGAAGAGGCTTTCCTCTTCAGACATTGTACTTACTGTGTATTCTATTGATTTGGAACAGTTTTTAGCTTACAATTTGTTTTCTAGTTTTAGGATTCTAACAAGATTATAAGATCTCAGAGAACAACGCTCTCTTTTATTTCTTTGTGCCTCATAACATTTACTTTGGGACTACTACAGGTATTGAATAAATGAATTTTGATGGTAGTAAGATGACATTACCTAAGTAGTGTTCTTTACAAACATTGTCAAGATTTTCCTTACTGTCTCAATGAGTTTTCATAGCAGGCAAATAAAGCAGATAGTGTAGGGATTTCCAGCCTCATTCTTATGGATAGTTGGCAGTTATTTTCATTATAAATATGGAAAAAGGTCGAAGAAATAACAAGAGTCATTTTTTTTCAAAACCAAATAAAAGAACAGTAGTAGAAGAGTGTCATAATACTATGGTGTTGCTTTCATGAATGTGAAATAAACTATTAATATTCATGCCTTGTTCTGAGAGTTTATTTTTATTTCTTTTTTGCAGTGCCATACAAATTACATTCCTGTCTGTGGATCAAACGGGGACACGTACCAAAATGAATGCTTTCTCAGAAGAGCTTCTTGTAAGCACCAGAAAGAGATAACAGTGGTGGCTAGAGGACCGTGCTACTCAGGTGTGTACCATGCACTTCTAAACACATGGTAGAAATGGTTCTACCATATTTTCTAAAAGGAAGGCTTCATCCAGCCAGAGCTAAAGTCCCTAAATTACTGCATAGATTATGGGCGATAGTTTGAGGGGATTAGATTTTTTTTTGAATTGCATATTTCATATTGCCACTTTTTAACCTTGATTGGTTTTATACTTAACTGTTTATGCCCTTTTTCTGTAGGGGTCTCTGTATGTCTTTTGTACTGTGGGTTGAACCTTAGACAGATAAGATTTAGAATGGAAGCTGGTGCTGGCAGTTCTTGTCTATAATCCTAGCTACTCAGGAGGCTGAGATCTTGAGGATCACAGTTCAAAGCCAGCCTGGGCAGGGAAGTCCAGGAGACTCTATCTCCAATTAACTATCAGAAAACCAGAAGTGGCGCTGTGGCTCCAAGTAGTAGAGCACTAGTCTTGAACAAGCTCAGGGACAGTTCAAGTCCCATAACTGACCCCCCAAAAAAGATTTAGGTCTGGGAATGTGGCTTAGTGGTAGAGTGCTTATCTAGCATGCATGAAGCCCTGGGTTCAGTTCCCCAGTACCACATAAACAGAAAAAGTCAGAAGTGGCTCAAGTGGTAGAGTGCTAGCCTTGAGTAAAAGAAGCTCAGGGACAGTGCCCAGGCCCTGAGTTCAAGCCCCAGGACTGCCAAAAAAATAAAAAAAAGATTTAGAATGGAGAATGACATGGGTCATCATGTCTTACTTTGTTTGTTTGTTTGTTTTTGAGAGGTCAAATCAGGAGTCCTTATTAGAAAGCCAGAGATGGTGTGTGGACGTATGTCCCCCCAAAATTTGCAGCCTTGACTATACTTAGTACTGTTAGGAAACTGAGCCACAAGCGTAGTAAAGAAAGAGCAGGAAAACAATCTCAACAAATCAGATCAACTCTCTAGTGGAGAGCCAAAGAGGGACAACATGGTGACCGCAGGAAGGTCAAGAGACATGAGGCCTGGTGTCCATGCCCATCTTTTCTGTTTTCTTTTTGGAAAGATGAGGAAAATCTCTGTATTTGTGTTTCTTTTCAAATTCTTCTTTTGTCTCTTCTATCCCACTATGTCATAAGCTGTCTGTATCTTCTTCCTTTATTTTGTTTCTCTTTCCTGAATTAATGGTAGTTGATTTAGGGAAGTGTTAATGCTTCCTTCCTTCCTTCCTTCCTTCCTTCCTTTCCTTCCTTCCCTTCCTTCCTTCCTTTCCTTCCTTTCCTTCCCTTCCTCCCTCCCTCCCTCCCTCCCTCCCTCCCTCCCTCCCTCCCTCTCTCTCTCTCTCTCTCTCTCTCTCTTTCTTTCTTTCTTTCTTTCTTTCTTTCTTTCTTTCTTTCTTTCTTTCTTTCTTTCTTTCTTTCTTTCTTTCTTTTCTTTCTTTCCTCCCTTCATCATGGGGCTTGAACTCAGATACTCCCTGAGCTTTTTTTGTTCAAAGATAGCTCTATACCACTTCGAGCCACAGGGTCACTTCTAGTTTTCTGGTGATTTTTCTATTGGAGATAAGAGTCTCATGGTTTTTCTTGCCTGAGTTGGCTCAAAGCCAACTCAAATCTCAGCCTCCTAAACAGGAGGCTCCTAAACAGGAGCTATCAGCTCCTGGATAATGCTAGATTTTTAGTTGTGTTTGTGTTTGGAGGTATTATTATTTTTGTCGGGCCTGGGTGCTATCCCTGAGCTCGTTTTGCTCAAGGCTAGCTCTCTACCACTTCGAGTCATAGCTCCACTTCGGATTTGTTTTTCTGTTGGTTAATTTGAATTAAGAGTCCATAGACTTTCCTGCCTAGTGTGGTTTTGAATTGTGATCCTTAAATCTCAGTCTCTTGAATAGCTAGAATTATAGGCGAGAGCCACTAGAACTGTTGTACAGAAATTGGTGGTAGAGACGGAGACTATTATCTCCATTTTTTTCCCCTCAATTATGATACAGTGCATAAAAGTTCTCCCTTTGACTAAATGTGAAGATTTTAAGGCCATATGCAGAGTTAGAAGGCAGAATCTCCAGACTGTCCTCACTTTTCATGTCAACAGAGTTTAAGAAGTTTTCCAAACTGGCCTCAGATTCAGGAATTTTCTTTAAGGTCACAGAGCTCATCGAAAGCCATTATACTCAAGTGTTATGATATAGTATTATCAAATGATACATGTTAAGCAACTAAAGGAAGAGATAAGTATATAGAACAGATTTCTGCAGGGGTTCAAACATTAGAACCTCTGATTGTCCTTTCCTTAGAGAATGTGACCTGCTAGCTAACCTATGAGGAGTCCCCATGCAGTATTGCCAACCAGTAAGTGTGTGTGAGCCTCAGTGCTCAGAGTTTTTATTGTGGTTGCATTCCATAAATATGATTGATGGATTGATTGCTCATGTGGTTTATCTTAGACTTTAAATCTGCTGGTATCATGTGACCCAAAGCCCTGTTCTATATCACTTGGGTGAGCTTTCTTAGTATGGCTAGTTCCCACCCAAAACTATTGTGACTATCTTCATCCTAAGTACTGATGTATTACCCATTCCTAACAGAGATCAGGGATGATATAGATTACCTTCTAGAAGCCTATGGAAAAGGCCAGACTTCCCTTTGGGCAAGGTCGTTTTCCTTTTATTATACACTGATGATTAGTTGCTTAGGCACTTATGTTCTTAATAGATAATCAGTAGGCTATCTCATTTGATGTGGTTCTTTTATACCTCTCTAAACTTGTATTTCACAGCCTGGATCTAGAAACTAAAGGAGGAATATGAAGTTTTTATTCCAGGTTAATTTTTCATCATTTATGAAATGCATATATTTAAAACATCAAGTATTTTGATGGACAGTAAATGTTAAGCATCAGGAGGCAGAGTAGTAGATTAGAAAGGCCACTCTACTAAAACCGGGACACCTGTCTTTAAAGTTATCTTAACTCTTATTTATCTTATGACCTTGGGTAAGTTTCTGAGCCCCTACTCCTGAAATCTTTAAATGGACATCAATCATCTCCTCGGCTTGTTAAGATTGAAAGCACAAAGCTATGAAGTGGATGTATTGATCTTGTTATTTGCTGACTGAGCCCAGTGTTTTTATGTAATTTAGTCTTTTATGGCTCCTATTCCGTGAGCTAGAAGTATTACTCTCTTTTACTTAACTGGAAAACATTTTTCTTAGGCTTTTAGCATTGGGCTTAAGCCTTTTTCTCTCTCTAAAATCTGTGAAGTTTTCAGGCAGTTTGTTCATACCTGATATATGTGTCTATGCCTATAATATACTATATTTCACTTATCTGACATATCTACCTCTAGCCAGTTCTGTTTCTCAAGTGCAAGCAGAGTGTCCTGCCTAGGGAAATATAAAAATCTCAGTGCTGGAATGGAGCTATGTGGGATGGGGAAGGTTTGTACAGTGAACAAATGTAATCTACAAGAACCACATTGTTGAAATAGTCACAGTAATTTGTTTAGGATTCTAAATGATCAAGGAAGGTGTGAGTTTAAAAAATATTAAAGTTACACATGGATTAACAAAAAGGATTGGGAATAAGTGTTTGATGCACTAAGAATGGGTCTTACTTGTTATATTATTTCTAGCATTATCGTGGGGCCTGGCATTTATACCTAATCAATGTATATGTAACAGAAGAGAGAAAGCTGGGATGTTTTCCTAAGAAATGTTTGGCCATAAAACAATTTAAAATTGAGTTCCTGTTTTCAGTTTCTCTCTCTCTCTTTTTTTTTTTTTTGTTCATTGTGGGGTTTGAAATCAGGGCCTACTTGTAGTCCCTGAGCTCTTTTTCTTTTTCTTTTTTGTCAGTTATGGGGCTTGAATTCTGGGTTTGTGCACTGCTGTTCAGCTCTTCAGCTCAAGGCTAGTGCTGTACCTGTTGAGCCACAGTGCCACTTCTGCTTTTCTAGTGGTTTATTGGAAATAAGAATCTCATGGACTTTCCTGCCCTGCTGGCTTTGAACTGCGTTCCTCAGATCTCAGCCTCCTGAATAGCTAGGAGTACAGGTGTGAGCCACTGGTGCTGGGCCCCTGAGCTCTTTTATTCAGGGCTAGTACTTTACCACTTGGAGCCACAGTTTCACTTCTGGATTTCTGGTGGTTAATTGGAGATGAGAATCTCATGGACTTTCCTGCCCTAGCTAGCTTTGAACTGCGGTCCTCATAGCTCAGCCTTGTAAATAGCTAGGATTATAGTTGAAAGTCACCAGTGCCCAGCTGTTCCTCTTTCATATATATATTTTTTTCTACTGTGTTTTTTATTCTTCATATCATTTAAAACTTGATGAAATAAAAATGGAGTATAATTGAAAACTTAAGATTACACAGTTGGTACTACATACACTACATTTTTCTAACCTATCTGGGAATTATTTGATTATTATCTGAAGGAGATTAAAGGGAAGAGGACAATCTTATCTGAGCATTGTCTTCTACTCCATATATATAATATATATATTCTCACATATAAATATATATATACATATATACACACACACACACATACATATATATATATATACATATACACATATATGTGTATGTATGTATTTGTTACCAGTACTGGGGCTTGACCTTTTGCTTGTCTTATTTTTGCTCAAGGCTGGTGCTTTACCACTTGAACCACACCTCTATTCTGGCTCTTTGCTGGCTAGTTGGAGATGAGAGTCTCATGGACTTTTCTACATGGGTTGGCTTTGAACCAGAATCTACATATCTTAGGCTCAAAAGTAGCTAGGATTACAGGCATGAACCACTGGTGCCCAGCTTTTCAGAGATCTTCCCTCCAAAATGCAGGCAGAAGTGTGAGAATCCTGACCTGCCAGCTCTGTTTTTTGTTTTAGTTTTTAAAATAGTTCATGCTGATGACACCACACACAGTATTATCCTCTTTTCAAGAGTTGTGTGCTGTATTTTGGTCCTTTTAGCACTCTAAAATTAAATTTTAAGGCTAAGAATATGGCTCAGAGGTAGAGCACTTGCCTATCATGTGCAAGACCCAGGGTTAATTACATTTTAGACTGGCTTCTTTTTGAGAGTGCTGATTAGATTTCCTGAAGGAAATTATTTTCATCAGTAATATGAAAACCTCAATCTTGAGGTTCTTTCCTTCCTCAACCTTGGGACTTTTTTTCCTCATATTATTGTTTGGCTTTTTGTCTTTGTCCACAGATTTCATTAAGAATAATTTTGGAGCAAGACTCAAAAGCTTTTCTCCTGCTTTTCTAATAAAAGCAGCTTATTCAACAAGCCTCTAAAGCTTAACAAAATTAAAAAAAAATCTTTTACCTTTTAGATGAGTGAGTTTAAATTAATTATATTTAGCTCAGTACAATATTGGTTTGTATTCTGTGAAAGATAGCTAGTCTTTCCTGAATGTGTTTCATACATACATAGACATAAATGATTATGTATGTAAGCCATTTGTATTTTGAGAAAGGCATTGAAAAGATATATAAAAACAAACTGTTAGCTTTTAAAACAGAACTATGAAGCTGGGTACTAGTGGCTCATGCCTGTAATCCTAGCCAATCTGGAGGCTAAGATCTAAGGATCAAGGTTCAAAGACAATGTGGGCAGCAAAGTCCTAGAGATTTTTATCTCCAATTGACTACCAGTAAACAGAAAGTGGTGCTGTGGCTTAAAGTGCTAGCCTTGAGCAAAATAGCTCACGAACAATGCTCAGGCCCCTCAATTCAAGCCCCACAACTGACCAAAAAAAAAAAACAAGCTATGATAATGAGTTTTGGATAAAAAAATGTTACTATATGAACAGAAGAAGTTTCTAGGAAAGATGTTTATATGCATTGTTTTTCTTCTCAGATAATGGCTCTGGATCTGGAGAAGGAGGTAAGTTTTAAATCGTGTGTGTGTGTGTGTGTGTGTGTGTGTGTGTGTGTGTGTGTGTGTGTGCCAGAACTTGGGCTTGAACTCTGGGCTTGGCCTCTGTCCCTTAGCTTTTCTGCTCAAGGCTGGTGCTCTACTACTCAAGCCATACCCATATCTTGTTTTCTGGTAGTTAATTAGAGATAAAGGTCTTATGGATGTTCCTGTGTGGGTTAGTTCCAAACTTTTATCCTCAAATCTGAGGATAGGAATATAGGCACATGGCAGTTTTGATTTCTTTAAAGACAATTGTTTTCTTTCCTATTTCTTTTCAACAGCTTTGAGATGTAATTCACATAACAAGATTCATCCACTGAAAAAGTACTGACTTTTAGGATACAATTTTAGGACATTTTATCACCCCAGAAAGAAATCATATGCCATTTGGCCATCAGTTGTAATCCTCATCCCTAACCTGACTCTCTTTAGCATTGGACATTCTTTGTTTCATATATATATATATATATTTTTTTTTTTTTGGTCCGGTTGTGGGGCCTGAACTCTGGGCCTGAGCACTGTCCCTCAGCTTTTCAGCTCAAGGCTAGTGCGTGCCCTACCACTTGAGCCACAGCGCCACTTCCGGCTTTTTCTTTTTGCTTATGTGGGGCTGATGAATCGAACCCAGGGCCTCAGGCATGCAAGGCAAGCGCTCTACCACCGAGCCAACTTCCCAGCCCCTGTTTCATATATTTTTTTTACTGAAGGCTTGCACTCAAACTACAAGGAAAATGCTGTAATTCCTGTTAAATTGAGGTTGTACAATTGACTTTCCCTTTGGATCATCCACAAAGGTGATCTTAGGTTAGGCCAGAGGATGTGTGACTCTTCTACTCCTTGCTTCCAAACTTTTTTTTTTTTGGTCAGTCATGGGGCTTGAACTCTGGACCTGGGCCCTGTCCCTCAGCTCTTCAGCTCAAGACTAGCACTCTACCATTTGAGCCACAGCACCACTTCCTTTTTTTTTTGTTGTTGTTGTTCATAGGGCCTGAACTCTGGGCCTGGGTGCTGTTCCTGAGCTATTCAGCTCAAGGCTATCATTCTACCACTTGAGCCACAGCGCCACACCCAATTTTTTCTGCTATGTGGTGCTGAGGAATCAAACCCAGGGCCTCATGCATACAAGGCAAGCGCTCTACCTACCAGTGAGCCATCTTCCCAGTTCACTTCTAAACTTTGTTGTAAGAGATTTTTTTTTTTAAGTGGAGGCATGCACAGTACTAGGGTTTGAACTCGGGGTTTCCTGCTTGCTGTGCTGGCACTCTACCACTTGAGCCAGGTCTACAGTCTGGCATTTTGATGGTTATTTGGAGGTCGAGTTTAGTGAGCTTTTTTCCCCCAAGTGGGCCTTGAACTGTAATCCATCCTCCAGATCTCAGTCTCCAGAGAAGCTAGAATTATAGGTATATGCCACTGGTCCTCATCTATTATATGGGGTTTTCAAAGGAACAGGCTCAAGAATCTCCAGAGTAAGCTATGCACAGTAAAAGAAACTTGCAAAACAGCTCTGGTGAACTTTCAGCCTTCAGAAATTTCCAGTTTTTAAAAAAAATTTCAGAATGTATACAAGTATGTAAACTTTTTTTCTGGTGTTTAAACAGTATTTGGTAATAGTATGTAATAGAGTTAAACGATGAGAATTAAGGATGATTAACCTATTTCAGAATCCAGCCAAGCTATATCTTAGTATCTACATGCAAAATCATGTTTGAGGTACCTTGAGGATAAAATTAAAAACACTCACACTAGGGAAAATCACTCTAGATGCAAACCTGAGTTAAGATCTTTCACACTTACTGTGTGAAACTTTTATTCCAGGTTGCCCTTTATTCTTCTGTGTGTCATAGTATCCTAAAGCTTCAGAGTTAGGAGGGATTGTGAAAGTCATCTATAATGGGCAATCATGAGAGAGGAAGTTCAGAGGGTGTCAGTTTTAGCTTAAAAAGAAAATGCATAAAGCTGTTGAACAATAGAATTCTATTGAAATGGGCATGTTCAAGAGGAAGCTTTATAATTATGCATAAATAATAAGCTCCTGAATTTTAGGTCTTAGAGCCAGAAAGAATGAAGAGATAATGTGGTCTAGCCCTGGTGATCATATATTCAGTTAGGAAACTCAGTTGATGTCAAGATTTGTTATTATTGCTGCTGCTGCTGCTAACAACAACAGCAGTAGCAACAATAATCCAATACTGGAAGTCTTGTCCTGAGGATGTAGGTCTGCCAGTTTTTTAGGAGTGTGAGTTTGATAGGCTGGGTAGTTTGCTCAATTATTCTGGATTTTATTATGTTTCTGAGGTCTCAGAATTACCTAGGGTGATTATTTCTGGAGTCTGTTTGGGGGATGTTCATGAGAGTTTGGAGAATATTTCTACTTACAGTGCAGGTAGACATCTCCCTCCAAAAATTGGGAGATCAGAAGTGTTGTGTGTGTGTGTGTGTGTGTGTGTGTATGTATACTTTCCCTTGAGCTCCTTTTAATACCCTCCCAGAATAGTATTCTCTCCCAAATCACATTGGGAAATCTCTTGAGTAAGTTGAGATCTTTAAATTGACCCCAGAACTACTGACTTCCCTGCCTAAATCTGAAATTTTCAAGATAGGATCCACTTTTTTTGAGACCACACCTTTAGGAACTTTATCAGGGTGGGATGTCAGCCCAGTTGGGGGCGCTAGTGTATTTGCTTTTTGTTGTTAGATAATAGGAGACCTACACGATTCTGCATCAAGTATATAGGGTGTGCTAAATGGGCAGGCAGAGAAAGGGAAAAGTCAAGGACTTTGTCCTTGTTAACATTTGGACACACATACATACACTTAAGCAGTGGAATTCATTTACATATTGTTAGGAAGGCAGATATGAAACTGATGTGAGGGAAAAAGCGTCCGGTCACCTGTCTGTGCTAATCAACGGTGTCCACACTAATTTCAGGAGGAGGACAGTCACAGGAATTGATTTACTGCTCAGGAATTTTCCTCTCGTATTTAGCCAATGGTGTAATTCTTTTTAAAGATCCATTGGTTGTCAAACTTATTACATTGTTCCTGGGCATATTGTTTATGGGATTGTTTGGCTAAAAATGCTCATGCCACAGAATATATCCCACAGTATTTGGCAAGAGTTTTGGATTCAGTCATAGATTAGATTGGGGAGTGACTTTTTTTTAAAGTTTAGACACATTTTCTGTCAAATAGGATAATGGCTCCTGAAAACATGATACAGAAAGGATCCCAACTTTTGGTTGAAACTTTCCTTTTTCTTTTTTGCACAGAGGAGGAAGGGTCAGGGGCAGAAGCTCACAGGAAACATTCCAAGTGTGGACCTTGCAAATACAAAGCGGAGTGTGATGAGGATGCAGAAAACGTTGGGTGAGTTGTGGAGAGAAAGGGATGGGACACGGCTGGAGGTGAGACCTTCCTTCTTCACAACTGGATCATAGGAAGGTTTCGTCTTCTTGCTTTTGTGTATTTTGGGTGTGCTTTTCTGTAGTTTAAAATGTTATTGCTAGTCTAGTTGAATGTTTTCCTGAGATTGTTGCAGTATTTTAGAATGTTAATTTTCACATGAGTTAGTTTAAGCCAATGTTCTCCTAAAACTGCTAACTAAACCACATTGAAAAAACATGGCATTTTCTGTGTAGAGTAAGAAGAAGAGGAAGGATGGATTTATTCAGAGTGCTAATGAAACTTTTCGGATGTGCATAATACCAGAGGTATTCCAAAAGGCCTTTTGCAAATCTTCTCTTGATTGTGTCAGCAGCACTATGAGGCGTAACACTGTTCTAAAGGACTGGAGTCGTGATTTACTAAAATCGTAAAGCTAAAACATACGAGTGATTTTCATTTATTAATTTATTTACTTATGTATGTAAAAGCACTGTGGTGAAAGGTGTCTTCCCCGTTAGTCAGTTGTCAAGAAGCCATCACTGGGTTCTATATCTCGTTTAATCTCCCAGGGGATACTTTATGCATTTGCAAGCAAATGTGCACATGTATTCTTTTCTTAAAAAATGGCATCACAATTCTGTATCCTCTTTAAAAAATTCTTACTTCTATCCTGGTACTGGAGCTTGTGCTCTTTCTTGGCTTTTTTACTCGTGACTGGCACTCGACCACTTATCCTATGCCTCCAGCCCAGCTTTATGCTGGTTAATAGAAGATGGAGTGTAGTGGACTTTTCTGCATGGGCCGCTTTTGAACTCTGATCCTCTAGGTCCCAGCCTTCTGAGTAACTAGGATTACAAATATGAGCCACTGATGCCTCGCTCCTATTAAGACATTTTTATTGTAAAACGGATGTATGGAAAGGTTTTAAAGCATCTACATTTAATTTAAGGAATACCTGTGCGCCTACTTCCTGTTGTGCAAACTAGAATACTCCTGTATTTCCAGTACTGAGTTTCAACGTCACCAGGGAGTGAAAGGACTGTAAGTGTGACTCTTAGACAGAGCTTGCAATGCAAGAAATGTGAAAGTCTCTGGGTCAGAGTTCGGCTTTTGTTTTTCAGAACAATACCAATTGTAAACCTTACTAGACTGGGGACAGTACTTTGTAGCTTACCCTTTTTTGGTACTGAAACAGTTCTGCGATTTTCTCTCCCATTAGCCACCATTTCTTATTTTACTGCTATCCTAATTTTGCCTATTTATTATTTTTTGATGGATCTGTTTTGCTAGTCCTGGAGTTTGAACTGAGGGCCTTGCTCTCACTTGGCTTTTTTCACTCACAGCTGGTACTCTACAAACATGAGTCACCAGCACCTAGCTTCCCATTGCTTTTTCCTGGGACTTGAACTCAAGGACTAGGAGCTGTCTCTGAACCTTTTTGCTGAAGGGTAGCTGCAGTTCTGGCTTTTTGATCATTAATTGAAGATAATAGTCTCATGGACTTTCCTGCCCAGGCTGGTTTTAAGCCATGATTTTCCCATGTCACCTCTTAAATAGCTAGTATTATAGGCGTGAACCACTAGCACCCAGCCCCAGATGTTTCAATTATTACTCCTTTAAGACAAACACACATTTTGATTTGATGTCCAGTGTAATAATTTGAAATTTATTTTTCAAACCTTATTTGATTTATTAAAAAACAATATTTTCTGTGGAAATGAATATGGCCCTTGAAAAATACAGCAGTGTACAGATCTAACTCTTATTGTTTGTGTTAAAAGTGCAACATTTTATTTCAATATTGAAGCCATTAAGTGTATTATCAATATCCTTGCATACAGAATCTGAAATACTGTTCCTTAGTTAAAAAAAAACAGATTGAATTTTAGGGTACCCATTTCTAGGTGCAAAATTACGATGGTTTTTATGGAGATTTTTGTATCATATTGTAAGGCTTAATACAATTTGTAAAAGAAAGTCATTATTATTTGATTCTCTTTTCTACTCCGATTCTGTTAAGGGGAAAGCAGGGGAAAAAGAGCCAGCCTTTTATTTGGTAAATTGTGATTACAGAGGTTTCACAATTAATTCAATACCTTAGTTTTTGTTTCAGGAATGGGAAAGGTCTTTGGACATTTAATACAAAAAGCATCATTATTAACTTTGGTAATGGACAAGTCATGGTCTCTGAGCTTCAGTGACCTTTTTTGCATTGAGTTTCTTTTAAACTTTGTTTCTGAGCAGCACATGCTAAGATTTCTAGTAATAGCATGGCCTTCCCAAAACAAATTAACTAAAGCTAACCTCATTTTCTTTTGGTCATATAATAAGATTCCTATATTAAAGTATTTTGGAATCTAAGCAACATACACACCAATTAGGTTTTATGTACGTGATTCATCAGGCCAGAAGGTAGGTATCATTCTGGCTGGTAAATGACTGTTCTTAAAAAGCATTCAATAGTGAATTAAATTTTCTATAAGCATTGAAGTTAGGTTTTTAAAAATTCTTTCTTCTTCTGTTCTGTGTGGTGATTTTATCGATGATTTGGCAAAAGTATATGGTATTCTTGTCAAAATTATCTTTCTAGGAGATATATGAAATGGAAGAAGTACAGCCTAAAAAGTTTCAGCATGCTGAAGTATTCTAAAATTGGATTGAGATAAAGGTAGCCTTCTAATCCTGGCCTCCAGAGGATACCCATTGCATGTTTTGCAGATAATACCAACAGAATTGAGTATATTTAAAAACCTCAGCCTCATGTTTGATGTGGTACCAGTAAAGTGAAGGCCAATCCTCTGGGTTTCATACTATCCCAAACAGTTAATCTAATTATTTTTTTCTGTACCGTAGACTTGTTTTATTCTTAACTTCATTCTTAACTTTAACTATGCCATTGGAGTTGGAGGGTGAGCAGAGTAGTTTTGGGGGGTGTTTGGATACTACAACAAATAAGGAATTATTGAATATTTACCTGAAATATTATAATTATCTAGAGGGCAGTCCTGGAAGATATTTTTCACTATTTCATTTAGATTTAGAGGTGAGTTACTTTTGCATAGACATGAACAAAATAACTGAGAAAACAACTTAAAAAAAAGGGTGGATTTTTTTTTAACTGATTCACTGTTTCAAAGGTTTCATTTCATGGTGGTTTGACCCCCCAGGCACTTAAGAAGAACATCATGGTGGTAGTAAGGAACATGTAGAAGAGGATGCTGTTTACCTCATAGAGGATAGGAAGCAGAAAGAAAGAAAGGACTAGAGACCAGACAGAATCTTTAAGGAGGCATGCCCCTGTCTACCTCCCCAAATAGTAATGCTTTCCACCTGTTGACAACCAAACACATTCAACACATGAACCTATTGGGTCATTTCATATTCATGCCATAAGAGGAAGCCAAGAATGAGAATCAACAGGTAGAATTTACTGAGATGCAGTTTCTGGTCTCCCTCCTGGGAAGGAGCTTAGTCAACCATGAAATGTGCTGCCTTGGTGGGTGGGCATGCTGTCCAGCTAAGCAAATGCTCTAGAAGGGGCTATGGAGTCATAAATAGCACTCAGAGGAATCCTGAACTGGATATAAGATTGGGAATAGATGGTTTTGTCAAGTCCTTTTCAACATTATAATTCTCTCACTGTCGATTTAAATACAGGAATAGGACTAAATGTGTACACTTTCGCTCACACAGTTGGATGTTATTCTCTCAATTCATCTGTATGCCCTTTTCTAGGGATTGAACACTAGGCATGCTATGTCTTTTATCTGAGCTCCACGTTCTCTGATTAGCCCACATTGATACTGTTGCTTCTTCCAACTCTTGTTTCCCAGGAATTAAATTTTTTATTATACCAGTATGTTTTTCTCGTTAGTTTTTTTGCTTTTGTTTTTGCAAGACCTGAGGCTTGAATTCAGGGCTTGGGTGCTGTCCCTGAGCTTCTTTTGCTTTAGACTTAGTGCTCTACTACTTTGAGCCACAGCTCCACTTCTGGCTTTTTTGTTTGTTTCTGTGTTTATTGGAGGTAAGAATTCCATGTATTTTTCTGCCTGGGCTGGCTTTGAACCTCAGCCCTCAGATCCCACCCTCATGAGTGGCTAGGATTACAGGCATGAGCCATTGGCACACAACTGTGAATATTGTCATGATTTTAATATTTTCTGTTAATTTAAATTTCACTTATGAAATATATCAGATAGCCAGCCATACATGAAAACTTACATGTTTGGTTCAGTGAACAAAGTGGAAACTAGCTTTTTGTGAATCATACCTCTCAAGTCAAGACCTAATGTTCATTGCTGTAACTGGTGTGTGTGTGTGTGTGTGTGTGTTGCTTTGGCTATGGTTTCAACAGTTTCAATCCATGGTCACTTGGCCCCATTGCTGTGGGCCTGTGAGGCAGAGTATTATGATGTAGAGGGCATAAGTGGAGTAGAGCTGCTCACCTCACAGTGTCTGGGAAGCAGAGAAACAGAAGCGGGCACAGCCCTAATGTACTTCTAAGTCCTACCTCCCTAGTTTTTTTTTTTTTTTTTTTTACCACATTCCAGTAGTGCCATCAAATTATGCATCATCAAAAGTCAGAGCCCTTATGATTCACCCACTTTTCCAAAGTCTTCCCCCAGCCCCAACACAGCTGCATTGAGAAATAAGCTTGGAACACATGAACTATTTTAAGATACCTCCTACCAAAGCTATAATATTTACCAATGCTTGAGGATCCTCTTTGTCCCCTTTCCAAATCCACATATGATGCATTGCATTTTGTGTAAGGCATCCCCTTTTGCCCTGTGGTTTTTTTTGGGTCCGGTCGTGGGGCCTGAACTCTGGGCCTGGGCGCTATCCCTCAGCTCTTCAGCTCAAGGCTAGCGCTCTACCACTTGAGCCACAGCACCACTGCCAGCTTTTTTTTCCCTCTGCTTATGTGGTATTGAGGAATCGAACCCAGGGCCTCATGCATGCAAGGCAAATGCTCTATCACT